GTTTTCTTTTATGAGTCTTCTGGATGTTTTCTTTAACTCTATAACATGTCCTATCAATTTTTCTTCCAAAGTTAAGTTCTTTAATTTCTTCAACTTAACAACCTTTGCTGGGTGTCATTTAACAGTTGTTTTTCTTCCATTTGTGGTAATATATTTGAGATCGAATCAATGCTCCACTAGCTTTGTCTAATATACGTCACTTCTTGTGAAATAGAATATTGAACCGTACAACGGCAGAATAACAATTAATTTTTAATAGATTAAACCAAATATATTAGACCTTTACTACTATTTTTTTTAGTAAATTAAAATTTCGTAACAAGTAATTTTCCTAACTAGCCGAATAAAAGAGAATTCATAATCGAAATGAAAGGAGAAACTAACAATAACAAAAGAAAACAAATGACGTTCTACGTCAACGGGCTCTTTGTTAATTATTACATAAATTAGAATTTCACCTTTAAATTATCTAAATGAAATAAAAAGCTGGATTTTTTATTAATTTATTTATTCACCATATGCCTACTTCCTTACTGGTTGATAATAAACCAAGATTAATAACTTAATAATATTCTTCAATAATTAATAATTTAGTATTTATAAATAATGGTGATTTGTGTGTCATTATTATTCATAAATCATTTAATTATGATGAACAAATAATAATTTGACTTATAAGCAGCCATCTTCGCGTGGTTGTATACGTCCATGTAGGTGTTTACTTATGTGTCATAAATTACTTTAGGCACGCATTATTTATTACATACTACGTTTTCATGTTTTGAATTCGTTCGGTATATGGTTTTGGTATTGACACCACCAAGAAAACAGATTGGTAAATTTAAATTATTTTAAATTTCAATGTCGGTAAAATGGCTGGTTGATAGAGATGTTGAAAAAGTAACTAATCGTTACTCGAGTACTCGTTTTAAAACTATACAGTTACTTTGATTACTATTACTACTTATAGTATTTAGCATTTATCATGGGTCGTACATACACGTAATGTGTATAGTATGGCATTGTAAAAATGTTGACAAAATTGAGCACTGAGGAGCGATTTCTGGAAATTTACACCATAAGGGGTAAAACTGGTGGTGAAATTTTGTATACAGGGTGGTCCGAACTGTATTCCGGAAACTTCGGTAACATATTCTGCAGATAAAAATAAGTAAAAAAGTTCGTATAAATGTATGTCCTAAAATGCTTAGTTTCGGAGATACAGGGTGTAGAAGTTTCATTTTTATCTCGATTTTTTCCAAATAATTTCTGAAGTAACGTCAATATTTGGATGAAAATTGGTCTCTGGGAGATTTTTGACATGAGAAATTTGATTTTGATGTCAATATGACTCCTACTAGTAGAGGGCGCCACCTACATATTTTTTAACTGGTTTGAAGAGTAATAACTTTTTGTCTGTACCTGTATAAAACTACTGAGTAAAAAAATAAACATTTACGACGTTTTTTACGTGAAAAAGGTTTTCGAAATATTTGGAATAGAAATTATCAATACCTGTCATCATTGAAATAAATTAAACATGTTGACACTAAATAGTTATTAGACTCAAATCATAAATTAGAAATGTTTTTGTGCCAAATATTCAACAGGAATTGTTTCATCATCATTTTTTGCAGAAAAATTTATGATTAATTTAAAAAAAATTAAAATTTCCCTAATTTATTATTTCAGTGAAATAACTATCTACTCTCAACGTGTGTGTATTTTTTGTCAATAATGACATGTACTTACTATTTCCATTCTAAATATCTTAAGAACGGTTGCTCGTAGCGATTTTTATAAAGAGATATTTTTTACGTAAATCACAGAGATGTATATTTTTTCGCTCGGTAGTTTTATACAGGTACGGACAAAAAGTTATTACGTTTCAAAACAGTTAAAACACACGTAGGTGGCACCCTCTACTAGTAGGAGTCATATTGACCTCAAAATCAAATTTCTCATGTCAAAAAATTCCCAGACACTAATTTTCATCCAAATATTGACGTTATTTCAGAAATTATTTAGAAAAAATCGAAATAAAAATGAAAGTTCTACACCCTGTATCTCTAAAACTAAGCATTTTAGGACATACGTTTATACGAAGTTTTTTACTTATTTTTATCTGCAGAATATACTGGCGAAGTTTCCGGAATACAGTTCGGACCACCCTGTATATATTTTTTTAAATTAATCCTAGGGGTATGATATTTTTATAGAGGTTTCTTAAATGGCGAAAGTGAGTATCTAGAAGCGATTTATTTTGGAAATTCACCTCCTAAGAGGTGAAAAAGTGGGTGAAAGTTGTCTCAAAAATTTCTTAAATTGGGTTTTAGAAGTATGAAATTTTAGTAGATGTTCTTTAGGTAACGTAATTGAACACTAAGGAGCAATTTTTAGAAATTCGCTTTTTAAGGGTGTGAGATGAGGGATGAAAAAAAAATTCAGAAAAAAAATCTTTTTTAAGAGTATGAAAATTTGCACTGAATATTGTGCCTTTAAGTGATGAAAGTAAGAAGTAAGTACTCAGAAACGATTTTTAAAATTCATCCCCTAAAAGTGTGAAATTAGTGGTGAAATTTTGTACAGTTGTACAAATATAGGAAGAGACTTGGGGATAGCACCGGTCGCGTGTTATTTTATATTTCTTACGTCTCTAGCTATACTTGTTAAGTTGTACATGTAAACTTTTGAATATTTGTCTAAAAATTGTAATTGTTCTAGAAGTATTAAATTAACACACAGAGTCTCCAGTCTCCAGTCCATTAAATCAAACGTGGGTACCTACTAAAGGTCTATTTTTGAAAATGTATCCCTTAAGCAGGTGAAATTAAACACAAAGGTTGACAGCAGTTGACAAAATTCACAACAGTACCAAAATCAATAAAAAGTAATCATAGTAATCAAAGTAACGAATATTTGAAATTATTACTTAGTAATCGAGTAACGATTAGTAAGCGTTAATCAAAAGTAACGAAAATCAACATCACTTGTTGTTGAACGTTCACAATCATTATGCGGAAACGTTCCATTACGAGAGCATGTATGAGCACAAATGAGCGCATGTATAACCACAAATGAGACCGTTCCCTACCAAAAGTAATTCGTTATTCTTGAGTCTAAATAGCATATTTTTTCAAAAATAATGTTTTCTCCAGTGGGGAGTCTCAAAACAAAAATTTCGAGTATTTATTTTTAAAATATTAGGACGATGTCTATATTTCTCAGTTATAATTTTTATTATTAGTTAATAGCTGGCCATTTACTCGGAAGAATGTTAGTCTTGTAGCCATGCATGAAGATGTTAGCGAATGCGTGGTTTCAAACAAGTTTCCTAGCACGTTTGGGGTGAAGTTTTTTTACTTGAAATCACTTATAAAAAAAACAACAAAACATCCAGTATATAGAATCTTCCCCAAATACAAAATCATAAAAATTTCTCTACGGAAATGTATCATTTTTTTCCGACTTCAGAATAACAGATCAGTTACTTGAAAACGTGTTCCTGCTTTACATCCTAAACACTTTTCTTGTGGAGGTATGAACTTAACCTAGTAGATACTGTAATTTAGACATCAATTTCGTACCGAGAAAAAACGAAAATGAACAAAAACTGCCTAGTAGTTTTAATATCTTGCTATATTTTACAACATTTTATTAATAAATGAAAATGGTACACTTCCGCAAGAAGTTTTTTTATGTGTCTATGTCTAGAAACATTTCTAGAATGAAAATCAAAAACGTGTTTTTATGTAACTGGTTTCAGCTATTCTATTAAAAATTATGCATTTCCACGGAAAAGTTCTGCTGACATACTATATATTCAGAAAGGCTTCCAAATACTAAATAAACTAAACTGGAATAGCCCTAATGTCAGCTATTCTAAAGTTGAAAAACTCGAAAAAGATGCATTTTTCCAGAACATTTTTTATGACATACTATTCGAAAAGGCTTGTATAAATACTAAATAAATAAAATATTTCTTACATAATAACTGATTTCGAGTAAACGAGAGTAGCCTTGATTTCAGCTATTCTAATGTTGAAAAACTCGAAAAGGATGCATTTCCGCAGAAAATTTTTTATAACAACGATTTGAAAAGGCTTCCAAATACTAAATAAACAAATATTTCTTACATAACTGATTTCAAGTAAACGAAACTTGAGCCAGTGTTTGTTGGTTGATCAACATATTGCTCTATGTGGCATATGGTATATGTTGGTTCATCAACATATTGCTAAGCATGTTGGTCAGTATGCTCCCTCGTAAGTGGCTTCCAAGTACCTGCATATAGTTATTGAACAAAAACACCAAAGAAGGAGTCTAATACAAGTTTTATATTCATGTAGGTATTATGAACGTCATGGAGAAATTATTTTAATATAACATACTAAAATATACAGTCCGCTTACTCAAATGACCCCACTTGTTCAGTCTAGCTCTTCTCAAAACTTCGCAATTATCCGAAAAACAATAATTTACCATTATAACCAGATTTATTTATCCGAAAAGATATGCTAATTGACCCGCGTTAGTAATCTCCATCCCGGAAAAAAACGACGACGAAATAAAACCGAAACGAAATCGCTCTTCTCTCCTAGTTGAAAATTCTACCCTCGGCGCGCACTCCTCTCGCGCCCTGCCCCCCACCTCTCGCCCACCCCTCCCACCACGCCTCTCCGTTCGCAATTAGAGCGCCCGCTTCTTCTCCTTCTATCTGTCTTCGTTGCAATTCAATAATCACATTCCTCCAATTTAAAAGAGAAACAACGCACACACGCTCGATCCTTATTTCGCGGCATCGTCTCTCGCGCGCGCGAGATATTCCGCCCCACCCCGCCGACGGGAGCCGCGCCCCTCGCCCCGCCACACCCCCTCCGCGGCCCGCGTATCCAGCCCAGGTGCGCGCGGTGGTGGGGCGCCCATCCCCACCATCGCTCCGCCCCTACGAGCGACGACCGTTCCTCCGCGGAAAGCAGTCGAAGCCCAAATAGCAGCGAGTGACGATGTTATACGGTGTTGCGCGCCGCACCGGCAATTTTTTGTTTTAGTTTTAATCATTCCTATTGTATTCGTTGAGATCTCTCGCTGTAGTATCGTTGTTGATTGGCCGCGCGACAAGATCGATCTGCAACGAACTGAAAATATAGTGTTTCGAGGGTGTTTTATTTATTTGTTGTGCCAGAAGGACTGTGTGACAGTTTGCTTTAGTGCGGCTTCGTTGTTGTTGACGAGTGATATACATACATATTGTATACTTGTTGTGACTGAGGTGGCTAAACTTTACGGATTACTGTTGTTAATGTGTCAGGAATGTGCAAAGGTAATCGTTGTTAAGTGTAATGAAGTGGCAAGTTCTCCAACAATATGTACACTAAAACGCAAAGAACTATAAAGATCGTGTATACATGTTCAAAATTCATGTTTTCAAACACCAGGCAGATAAAACAGACCCATCAAACTTGTAATGAGAGATTTAGTATTTTGAAACCAAGACTGGTGATTGGCCAAAAAGTGTCAAATATAGAATAATCTAATATTAAACACAATCAGAGCAAATCATTGTTTAATTTCACACACACAATATTTTCATATTTGGTGTTACCATACAGCTAATTGTGTAATTACCAAAATTCCCCTTAAACGTCAAAAAATATTGCTAAAAATCATCGTATTCAAAGTAGTCTACCATTAAATCAATAGACGGAACATCTGCTCATTTTTATCAATCCCGTGTTCTCAACTTCGTTCCATGAAAGTAAAACTAAACTGTATTGTCACAGCTTTCAAAAATATTACATCATTATCTTAAACGAATCAAGATCAGTGTTTCTTTTCTTGCTAACATATTCTCCAGATGGTCATGATTCAAATGTTTGGAAGCCACAGGGATTATGTTATCGAAATCCGAGTCAAAATCCTATTAATACCAAACAATTCGTCACCTTTTTATTCCGTGAAATTGAAGAACAATTAGAATTCGAAATCCTGATATGTTTAAATAGGTATCCAAATACCTTCAGTCATTTCATCAAGTTGTTTTCCGAGAAAAGTTCTAATGTACAACTCATATTGATTCTAAATAATAGTTTTATCTAGTAAATTGTTTTTGGTTAATCTCCTAGGAAACTCGAACTACAAGATTATTTATAAATCTTAAAATTACCCAAGCTTTTAATAAGTAATCATTTGCAATCTTCAAATCTGACACTTAAAGGAAGAATTTTTGAAACAAAGATCAAATTCAATTAGAAATTAAATTTGTCTTTCCTTGTAAGGGAGAACTTTGTTGGAGTCATGAAGTTAGTTTTCTTAAAATATACCTAAAATCATCAACAGATCCATTGTTCAAAGTCCTTGTGTAATCTTGCAAAGATGAAGTTTTTTGGAGTTATGAAGTTAGTTTTCTTAAAATATACCCAAAATCATCAACAGATCCATTGTTTAGAGTTCTATTATATTCTTGCAAGGATGTGGTTTTTTAAAGTAATGAAGTTAGTTTTCCTAAAATTTACCCAAAATCATCAACAGAGCCATTGTTTCAAGTTCTATGGTAATCTATTTATCTATTAATGTGTGCTAACAAGTTTTGATTGTATTTTCGGATAAGTGATTTCAGCGATTCGATAAAAACAATTGTAAGGTAAATCCCATCATGTCCTTAAAAATTCTACTTAAGCTAATTCGAGATTATATGATTTGATTTTGAAAATGTTGTACATTAATCTCGATCAATTCGTTTCAAAATTATTTCAGATTTGGAGAACTAGAAAAAGGTAATCAATCTTCTTGACAACCTTAATTACAAACTTCACTCAACTGATTTACATATTCAATCAATAAACTGAAAATCAATAAAAAGTTTTAATTTTTTTAGTTTCCTTTTTTTTATCACTTTACACTTTTCAACCACTTTTTTTTCATCACTTTTCAACCACCATTCTGGAAGTTTCTAAATTTTTGACACCACTCTTGGACTAAATTTTATTTATGTACATTAGAGACACCATCTGCTTCTACCAGCAATCCACGAATTTTGAAATTGTCATTTATATAAGTGTTTTTTTACTTATGTAAAGTACCTACTCCAACATAATTACTACCCTCAATCTGATACATGATGTATTTAGCATATCAATTCAAAAAAGTGGTTGAATATGGTTAATCTCCTTCGCTAACGTTTTCTATTAATGTTATTCCAGGTGATCTTCCAGTAAATTATATTCACTGCTAACTCCATTCAATAATGGTCGCACTTTTTTCTTTATTCGTTTTTTATAATGTTTACCGTCCACACGCGCCTGACAAACTTCCTACCCCCATATCATTTACTAACTAACCCTTTCCTCATTTCCATAATACTTAAGTCTATGTCACACCCGTTTTGCATACGAAATCTAGAAAAATACCGCCCCGAAATAGCTGGATATACTCACAGCACACGTGGCTCACGCGTTCCGCTCTTTTGTGCGTACCTTCTCTAACTTTGTATATATTTGCATGTGCAATGAGTATCTTAAAGCGATAAAATATAGAACTGAAAATAGAAATATCCGCAAGGTATGAGCCAAGTTCTGCAATAATAATATTTAGACAAAGCATCATATTTTAATCATCTATTTTTATTTTAATAACGCCGTTAATAAAAAATGGCAATTAATTATCAAACGGAGCATAAAACTAAAAATAAGACACAAATAAAGTCAAATCTTATAAAGATAATGAGACTAATGAGATATTGTATATACTTATATCGTTGTATATACTTATATCGATACTTATATACTTATATTCAAGTTGATATTAGAAGATTTCTCACTTTTGTTGTAATGACATTCATAGTCAAAAAACTTAACTCACATAAATATGATGTTGCAAATGGTATCAAACAGGGTTTTCCAAAATTCATCTTTTTCCAAAATTCATCCACATTCTGAGAAAAAAATTAGATCTTAAACATTCCATCACTTGATATTTTAATAAGTGCTTCTTTCGTGTTTATTAGAATTTGCTGAAAGGAATCAGCTAAAAGGGGATTCAGTATTTGCAGCTGGATTAACTATCTGCAAGTGTCGCAACTGCTATTAATATCTTCAGGGAAACAATCAAAGAACTGTTGTTTAGAACACTGATCTAAAACATAGTACGTACTTCCAAACAATTCTTCATCTTTATTATTCTGTAGTACCTACTTATCATTTTTTTTTAAATCGTGACATTTTCATCTTTAGATCTAATAATTGGTTTTCTAAAAACTTGTCTATTATTGATATAAGTCATAATAATTGCAAATAATTCATCATCCTCATATCTCAGTTATCATTTTACTGCTTTGGATTTTTTCTAAAATTCTCTTTGAGTAACATCCAATCATAATAAGCAACTTTAGTTTAAAATTTATGTTATGTATAAATGTTACATAGAAATGAAGCATGAAATGTTAATGCTTTCATAAAATATTTTTCCAAACTCGAGTCAAAACTGTGCTCTAAGTCTACTAACAGATCTTTAACTATATCCCTAAATACAGAGTACGATGTTATTAATATTATTTGGAAACCTGTTATATAATTTTAAACACATAGAGTGAAGACTATCTTCAAAAACGCTAAACTTGTGTGTGCAGCATTAAATTGATCCCTGTTCCTAAAGGAAAAACTCATTTCATAAAGTTCCTAAAGGAGAAACTTACGCATTCAATATATAGAACCCAAAATCAGTCAGCATTTATCGGTTCTAAACCTATTCTTGCAAGACATTCTATTTAAAATTCTTAATATACGTTTTTCTATGACAAGTGTATGCTTCACATTTGAATTTCTTCTCCAGAATTAATAACATGTGTCAAAACCGATTCCAAATTGTCATAGTATAAAATTTTTAATGTATTTTTATCCATATAGTTAACTAGAATTCTACTACTGACGCAGATTGAGTTTAATTTCTTTAGTAAATTGTTTATTGTTAAAGTCCAGTCCAAAAATTCATTAATATAGACCCCAAGAAACTTTGAATCATTGGTTAAAGTAACTTGTAAGTCACTAATTCGAATACTGTTTGGTTTCTCTGTCCTGGTATGTTTTGTTCCAAAATAGAAAACAGCAGTTTTTTCAATATAGAATAGCATTCTACAGAGAATACCTACTTATAACATCCTGGACACGTCATCTGCTTGGTCTGTATTTTAATACATGGGACAGAGATAAATATAAATGACAGAGAGAAAAAATAAAAAGCGGCATACAGTATTGCCGGTTTTTACATGCTTAGGAAAATATGTGTAGAAGAAAATTAACTATTTTAAAAAATTTCATTAATGCTACTGAAATAAAGATTAAATATAATCTATTACAGCTGTAGAAAAAATGAGTAACTAATTGTGAGAAATAAAGTTCCAACCCTATAGGCAACTTTTCGTAACTCGAAATGCAATTTTTCGTAAACGTCTACTTGTGCGGTTTGAAATTTTTATGCAAAATCCGGCAATACCGCATAGAAGAAATGTATCAACTCAACTTTTATCTCTTTTTAATATATTTCTTTTTCTCATTAAGATGTCTACATCACGTTAAAATCCATACCACGCAGTTTCGATGACAAGATGGGTATAAACGTAATTATATTTTGTATTATTATACTCAAATATTTAACCAATACATATTTGGAGGCAACAGATTTGGATACACATAGAGCAAGTTTTGTCAAACAAAGATCTAATCCAGTTAGAAATTAAATCTGTGTTTTTAATGTAAAACATCATTTGCAAAGGTGGCTGAGGCGTTCCGACCTTTTCTGTTCTTATACCTTCTCTATTTTCGTATATATTTGCATTTGCAATGAGCTTGGCGAAGCGATAAAAATATAGAGCTGAAAATAAAGCGATTCGGGCGAATGAGAAAACTTCGCCAATTACAGCCGTTTACTTGTGGAAAGTCGTGAAAGTTTTGATTAAAACACCAAGTTTGATGTCTTGTTTCTCGAAAAGTATCGTTCTGTTCTGTGCTGGCCATCTGATTAATTTTCTTTTATTTCGGAGTTAAAGTTCTCTGTTTTATTTGAAAATTTAGTTATTTTCAGTTAAAAAACTAGTTATTTAATAAGTTTTAGATAGTTATTCTTCAAAAAAAGAATTACATTTTCCATTTAATTGTATTGGTGGCTATAGGTCATTGTCAATTTTGAAAATGAAAAATCCTTTAAGAGGAACTGAAATTTTTCTCTATATTAAAATTTGTTAAGATATGAACTAATTTTATCAAAGTAATATTTATAATTTATTATAAATTTAAATATTTTAAAACAAATCATTTTTTCTGTTTTATG